AGCTAAGAAAAAGAAATATGGGGAACGAGAGATGGTAGCTGTGGCACAAGAGTATCAAGCGTTGACCCCGGGAATTGGGAGGAATATACCTAAGCATAGAGATCCGGGGAAGTTCACAATTCCTTGTGTGATTGGAGGCCGACCTTTAAAGGGATCCCTTTGTGATTTAGGAGCCAGTTTGAGTGTTATGCCTCTTACTCTTTGTCAAGGGTTAGGGTTGGGAGAACCAAAACCAATCCAATTCACCTTAGAAATGGCTGATAGATCCATCGTAAAACCTATTGGAATCCTTGAAGATGTCCCAGTTCGTGTGGACAAGTATTTTGTGCCTTGTGATTTTATTGTGATAGATGTTCGAAAGAACCTAGACGTTCCACTCATTTTGGGGAGACCCTTCCTAGCCACTATTGGAGCAATGATTGATGCAAGGAAAGGGTCCATGATTTTTGACTTTGGGGAGGAAAAGGTAGAATTTAATGTTCTTGATGAGCCAAAAATCATTGATTGCAAGTCAATTTTGCACATCGACCCTACTCTCAAGGTGACACATGATGAGTATTTGCATTTGAAGAGTCTATGGGGTGATGAGATCAAACTCGCGGATCAACCAGGATGAGCACTCCATAACCAGGTTAGGTCGAGCTAGCGACGTTAAACTTAGCGCTTCATGGGAGGCACCCCATGTTATCTTTTATTTCTTTCATATTTATTGCTTTCTAGATTCGTTTTATTTAGTTTTATTGCTTTCTAGTTCGTGATTATTATTGCTTTTTAGTTCTCTCTTTTCTCTTGTTCTACTTTTATTTTATGTTGCATCAGGGACGATGCAAAGTTTTAAGTGTGGGGGGAGGAATCATTAATTTTGGGATATTTCTAAAATTTTTAAAATTTTTGCTTTTGCTTGGATGACTCATATGCTATTTTTGGTGAATAAGTTACTTGTCTTAGCATGCTGTTACAATTACTCTCTCTTGTTGGTCTGTGGTTTGTTTTAGTGGTGCTTGCTGCATCTCAATTTGTGATGGATGATTTGGGGTGTAACACATATTTGATCTATTCCCTTGCCAATAGCTTTGTTAACCACTTAATAATTGGATTAATTCTTGATCTTGTGTTTTGCATTGCTAGTGAATGCTTATGTTTGATTCCGGTCATGGGTGTTCTGCTAGAACTTGCCTCATTACTCCCTAAGTGACGTCTAAGTTTTGCATGTTTTGAAGTGATTTAGGCCATTATTGTTTAGCCATAGCCTTTAAACTTGTCCCTATATATATTTTTATCCTTCGTGTCCCCATTGTGCCTTTTGTTTGTTCAAATAAGTGCTAAGCACTTATCCCCTCTTTGTGATTGTTTTTCTTTGATTTACCCCATTATTATAACCATTAGCCCTTGGCCAAACATTTCCCATCCACCCTTGAGAGAATGAAACTTTTATCTTTATCTTTTCTATAAGAAGAGTTTTTATGGAGTTGTGCTATGAAAAAAAAAAAAAAAAAGCAGCTAGTGTTACAAATGTTCAAGAGTGGAGGTCATGAAAGTTTGGATTAAAATTATCTTGCTATATCCAAAAGAAGTCCAAAGACAAAGAAAAGAATGAAAAAAAAAAAAAAGAGATTGAAAGTTTTTGAGTTTGGATCCTCACTTTACCAAAGAGTTGCTAAGTTCTTAAAAGAAATTTTCTCCTTGGAATTATGATTATCTCATCTCTTCCAAATTTTGAAAAGTTTAGATAAATTGTGACATTCTCTCTTTTTGATTAATTTTTCCATATCACTTCTTTGTTAGCCATCACCCGTAGCCCCATTACAAGCTTAATAAAGTCCTATTTGATCTCAGCATGTATTCTTAGATTTGATCTAGGGAGTATGAAAGGCAAGCCTATGGGATCTCATTCATGAACCGTGTCTTGCATAATCTCAACTGAGTACTTGTACACACTTGGTCCTCACACACTTTAAATTCTTGGTGCTTGGTTATTGGCTTGGAAATGGGTCTCTTATGTGCCAAACTAATTTGATTCTTGAAGCTTGTTGTTTTGTAGCAAGTGGGTTGGTGGTTTGAAAGGTTGTGCAAGAGAGAGCATGAGTAATTTGTATGTTTTGATTGTGATTTTATTCCTTAGTTTTGCTTGAGGACAAGCAAAAGCTTAAGTGTGAGGGGATGATGTTATCACATCTTTGCTTGTTTTTATAGTTATTTTGAATCATCACAGTAATTAAGTTCTTTAATTTTGCTTATTTAATACAGGTTTTCCTTGCTATTATCATTTAATTATGGTTCGCACTTGTTTTGAATGTTTTACGGTGTTTGTTAGTGTTTCTGAACCATTTTAGGTCAAAGATATGAGCAGGGGGAGTTCAAGGATGAGTTTGGAGCAATTTTGGACAAGTTCGGGAGTCAGAGGACTCGACGCGTCGAAAATTTTCAGTGAGCATTTTGTGAAATCAGTACAAGGCTCGACGCGTCGAGACTAACTCTCGACGCGTCGAAGGAGCGCCGCAACAATTCTTCCCAAGGCGCTGAAATCAAAAGAATTAAAAGGGGCGTTGATGTTTATCTCCAATTCATACTCCAAACTTCCAATTCAATTGCAATTTCCAAAGTCCAAGTCCAATTCACACCACTTCAATTCCAAATTCAAATTCCAATTCCAACTTTGATTTTTAAATTAAATACGTCAATTTATTTAATTTAGGAATATTTCAATTTGAGTCCAATTTAGTATAAGATTCCTATTTCATCTCAACTTTATACCTACTATAAAATCCCTCCTTCCTCAACCCTAAGAGACACACCGAGAGATTTTCAGAGTTCTTTGTAGACAAGAAAGAGAGAAATCAAGAGGCTCAAGTTATCTTTGGAAGCAAGGAGGAAGCCACGGAGATTCGGGAGAATCGCTTGGTCAATTCTTGTACTCTTTTGATGATTTGTGATTCTTTATTTATATTTGCTATGTATAATTTAGCAATGCTTGGCTAAATTCGGCTAAATTCCTTAGGGATTTTTGGGTGAATTTGTTTATGAACCTATGTGCCTAGTTCGTTAATTTCTTAATATATTTATGTTTGGTTTTATGATTTGTGTTGCAATCTTGTTTTTAACCTGTTGTTGTTGGTAATTAAAGGCCTAAATTACTAGATTCATAGTCATATACCTAATGGTTGGTCCTTGGGAAAGGGGAACTTATTAGGGGAAATTTATTCTAGATTATTGCTCATCGTGAGATGGTAGTAATTAGGAATAATTGAATGCGGATCTTTGATCTTATTGGGTGTTTAAGCCATGGGAGTGGAAATTCACTAGGAATAGAGATTACGGGAGTAATTCGATTCCACTTTGCATTCCCATACAAATCTTAATTCCAAACCAAATATTACAAACGTTAATTGGCACTAGGTGATTAAACATTGTGATCCCAAGAATCCTATCTTGCTCTATTGTCTACAAAACCTTGTTACTTATTTTATTCTGCTTATTATTTTATGCAATCAATCAACCTTCAAGTTTTGTTCGGATTAGTTTCATATGAGTAACCTAGTAGCTAGTGATTAGTACACCACCTCTCTGTGGTTCGACAACCCGAATACTCCGGGTATTATTTGTTTGCCCCAAATTACAGCAATCAATATGTATTGCTTAAAATAGTGAGTAAGTGTATTGTAAAGCAATTATAAACTGTATTGTGTAATGGGTATTATATTGGGACCACTCTGGACAACTGTATTGCTTTTACTTAAAAGAGTGTGTAGTTTTAAACTCCCACATGGGGACCAATTTGGTGTCTTCAGTAGCTTCAGTTTGCAGTAAAAAAAAAATAAAATAAAAAAAAAAAAATAAAAAAACTGGAAACCCACAAAGTGAGTAGCTTTAAACACATGGGGACCATTTTGCTGTCAAATTGAGTACCTTTAGTGAAAACTGGAAATGCAAGCAGTAATTTGTTTCCTTTTGTTTTTGTTTTTTTTTTTTTTTTTTAAGTTATTAAAGTGCATGTTATATACTATTTAAATCAGGTGGTCAAGGTAATAGTACATTCAAGCTTAAATTAAGGTATGGTGGCAGAATAGATCTAAGTAACCCACCTAAGTATGTGGGAGGTAGTGTGAAGTGGTTTTCTGACATGGACTATGATGAGTGGGGGATAATGACTTTATGGGAAAAAGTTGAACAATTGGGATATAAGAAAGATGAATGTAGGTGTTTTGGTCAGAGTGACAATGGATTGGCTGAGTTAGTATTAGATTTGGAGGCTTGGAACTTGGTCAATTCTACTGTGAGACCTAAGGTACTAGAGATTTGGGTTATTGTTAGGGTGGATGGAGAAGATGAGAGTGCTGGTGGAGAAGATGAAAGTGCTGCTGGAGAAGATGAGAGTGCAGAAAATGAGAGTGCTGGTGGAGAAGATGAAAGTGCTGCTGGAGAAGATGAGAGTGCAGATGAAGAAAATGACAGTGTAGAAGATGAGTTAGAGAATTTTGAAGGAAGTGATTGTGAAATAGAGCAAGTTGATGATCAGGAGTTCTTGAAATATACAGATCCAGAAGTTGAGTATACAGGTGCTGCAAATGTTGAAGAGAGTCCACATTTAAGTATAGAACAGAGGCCTACAAACAATGAGTTGAATTTCTGTGATGATGGAGGGATTGTGAGTAATTTGGGTGAATCTGTTAGGCCTAATCCTCCCCATGAGTTGCCATCTCCTTTGTGGCTTGGTAGAACTTTTTTATCTAAAGAGGATTTCAAAGAAGAAGTGAAGACATATGCTATACAGTTTGGAAAGGAGCTGAAGTTTAAGAAGAATGATAAGGTAAGGTGTATAGCTATATGTACCCAATCTGATTGTAAATGGCAAGTAACTTGTAGAAAAGATGTTGATGAAGACTTTTGGAGGGTGACAGTTTTGAATGATGTGCATGCTAATTGTCCATGGGTTAGTGACAACAAGTTCATTACTTCGTCATTAGTTGCAAAGAGATGGAAAAAAAAAAATTGGTGGAAATAGTAATTGGAAGATGAGTGAATTTAGAGAGACAGTGTGTACTGATGAACATCATTCCCTAAGTATAAGGCAAGCCTACAAGGCATTGGATTTTGCTAGGCGTGATATAAAGGGTGATCTTGAAGACAATTTCAATAAAATTTGGAGTTATTGTTTAGAAATCGAAAAAACTAATCCAAAGACCACTTTCAAGGTAGAGGAATCTGATTTACAATATGAGGGAGGTAAGAAGAGATTCCTTAGAATGTATATGTGTTGGGAGGCTTGTAAAGATGGTTTCAAGTACTGTATGCCACTTATTGGGGTAGATGGTTGTCATATTAAGGATAAAGCTGGGGGGATGATGCTTACTCCTGTTGGTATTGATGGGAATGAGGGTTTATTCCCTATTGCCTATGCCATAGTTGAAGGGGAGAATAAAGATTCTTGGTACTGGTTTTTGAAACTATTGTGCACTGACCTTGAGATTGACAATGTGTCTCAACGGCAATACACCTTTATGTCCGACAAGCAAAAGGGGCTTATCCCTGCATTTGAGGAGGTGATACCTATGGTTAGTCATAGGTTTTGTGTTAGGCATTTGCATAGTAATATGAAGGTGGCTGGGTTTGGAGGTGTTCCCATTAGAGATGCCCTATGGAAGGCAGCTAGGGCCACAACTGTGAGTACTTTTTCAAAAGCTATGAGGGAGTTAAAGGCATTAGATGTTCAAGCTTTTCAATGGTTGATGCAGAAGCATCCTGCAGAGTGGTCTAGATCCCATTTCTCTACAAATGCTAATAGTGATATGCTTGTGAATAATATATGTGAAAGCTTCAATGCTATGATCTTAGATGCAAGAGACAGCCCACTCATACATTGCCTTGAGATTGTGAGAAAACAGGTTATGCTCAGGTTATTTGAGTGTAGAAAGCAGGCCACCAAGTGGACAGGAAGAATATGTCCAGCAATAGCAAATAAAATATCTATTTTTGAGAAACAGGCAGGAGGGTATTGGGCATACCAAAGTACTGAGGTTTTGTTTCAAGTCAAGGGAGCCACTGACCAACACCAAGTAGACATTGGAGCTAAGACATGTTCTTGTAGAAAGTGGGATCTCAATGGGATACCCTGCAGGCATGCTATTTGTGCTCTATGGGTGAAATTTGGTAAGGCACCGCTCCATGACTATGTGGCTGATTGTTACACAATAGAGACTTATAAGAAAGCATACTCAGGCTGCATTCACCCTATGGCTGGGCCTCAAGAATGGCCACACACTGATAGAGAGCCCCCACTACCTCCTTTGTTCAATACTAAGGTTGGCAGACCAAGAAAACTGAGGAAGAAATCTGCAGGGGAAATAACCAAAGATGGAATTCATATATCAAGAAGGACTGTGACACTTCACTGCTCAACTTGCAAGCTTATAGGTCATAACACTAGGAAATGTCCTCAGGTAAATGTATATAATTACATTATGCATTTTACAATGTCATTTTACATCATCACCATTTACATCAATTTACTTATTTTGTTTGAACTAAGCAGAGAAGAAATAGGCCACCAGCACCTCCAGTGGATGTGGCAGCAGTAGCAGTAGATGATGCTCCTCCAGTGGATGTGCCACCAGCAGCAGAAGAAGATGCTCCTCTTGTGGATGTGCCACCAGCAGCAGAAGAAGATGCTCCTCTTGTGGGTGTGGCAGCAGCAACAGCAAATGGTGATTTTGCAATGAATTTCCAGCAGATGCTATTTCACGAACAAATCCATTTTGCAGATACACAAGGTAACTAGTTGAACCTTTATTAAATTTTGAAAATCTAATTGTAGTTGATCCTTGATTAACTTGTGAAACTCCTATATTGTAGTTGATCCTTGTTTAACTTGTGAAACTCCTATATTGTAGTTGATCCTTTATTAAGTGTAGGACACAATATTCAAACAATTGTTGATGATGTAAATTCCCAAATGACAGGTAAATGTTTAATTTGTAATTGCAATTCATGGATTTCTTTACAAACTTGTTGATTATGTTGTTTACAAACTTGTAATGTAATGAACTGTAGGAATACAAAGTGAGGAAATGACAATTACTTCCCATGGAGTGAAGATAGGTTTTGGCCAACCTCCAAAACGAAGAAAAATCATAGCTCATTCTACCAAAGGCAAACAAGTTGTGCAATCTGCTCCTCCATCCAATCAAGGACTGCTCAGAAAAAAACCCAATTGATATAGATAAGGGTGTCTGTTAACTGTAGTTGGATGTTAAGTGTAGTTGGAAGCTTATTTTGCCAAGTCTATGTCTGTTAAGTGTAGTTGGAAGGTTATTTTGCCAAGTCTTTTGGAAACAATTATGATGTATGGATGACAGATTTATGCTATCAATGACTGTTTTGGAAGCTTATTTTGCCAAGTCTTTTCGAAACAATTATGATGTATGGATGACAGATTTATGCTATCAATATGACTGTTTTGGAAGCTTATTTTTCCAATTTTACATAAAGTTCACCAATTTTACACAATTTTAACAAACACTGTGTACATAAAGTGTACCAATTCTACACAATTGGCATCACCAGTTCAACAGTTCTTGTCACCAATTCTACCAATTCCATTCATTCCTTAAACTGAGCAAACCTTCATTCCAAACTGAGAAAACCTTAAACTGAACATTCATATTGCATTTCAACATTTTTTTTCAAATACTTCAAATTCTACATTTTCACTTTCAACCACCATCAAGCTAAAAAAAGCTTTCCAAACCCATCACTACTAGTCTTGAAATTGCTAACAAACACAAACATTGCTACAACAAGAAATAAAATTAACACAACTCTACACAAAGACTTCAATTTTAGTTTCACACTGGAATTATGAGCCTTTATGCTTGCAGTGTCTCTACTTGCTCATCCCGGTTTATTCTTCGTAGCAACCCAAGAATAATCACCTTGGATCTTGAACACATTGGAGGGTCAAACCACCAATCCCCTGTATACAATTTATCAGTATACCAATACAAAAAATAACAATTCCCATATACACAATTCACAGCCACCAACACCAATCCCCTGTATACAATTTATTAGTATACCAATAAAAAAAATAACAATTCCCATATACACAATTCAATTAATTTCCACATGCACAATCCAAACAAACAATTTCGAAAGAAAAAATAAAATAATAATAGAATCACTTACTTGATTATCATAGGAACAGTCCCAATACCTTCTTCCTGGGTTTACATCCGTCCACGATGTCTGTATCTTCAATCTTTGGCCACAGTGACAATAGCATATGGATTTTGCATCGCTATAGCAAACCCTTGAACAACAATAGCTCTCCTCACTGTTAGCATACGTACCTTACATAGCTTCCAAGCGAATGCGTGAATAGCGTTGTTGAATGCGTGAAGAGATGTTGTAGCTTGAAGAGATTTTGTAGCTTGGATGTGTGAATGCGTGGGTAGGAGAAGATAATGGCGCCTCTTGGCTATTCGGTTAATACAGCGTATAAATGGCGCAGGTTAAATTGAAATTTCAAAATTACCCCCATATTAACAGCAACTTGACGGCTGCCCGAGCAAAAGGACCAAATTGGTTAACGTTTTAATAATCGGAGGACTTAATTGGGTAAGAAATATAGTCGAGGACCAAATTGGTAATTTCACAATAGCCAGGGGACCAAATCGGTAATAAACTCTTTTTAATGAGTTAATTTCACCAGATGTCATTTGTCTTTGGTGACAATTTCAAATTTAGTTCCAGACTATCGTTTTTGTCATTTAACATCTCAGACTATTATTTTTTGGATACTTTTAGTCCTACTCATGACTTTTCCTATTTTTAATAAGGACAGCTTTGTCTTTTCATACTTTTCTTTTGTTATTTTTTCGGTATGAACCGGTTTAATTGGTTTAGGACTTTAGGTAACCTCTGATTTTTAGTAACCATATTTTTCAACTAGTTTTTAGTAAAGTCCTAAAACAATTAAACTGGTTAAAACTGAAAAAAATAACAAAAGAAAAATATGAAGAGACAAAAATGCCCTTACTAAAAATAAAGAAAGTAATGAGAAGGACTAACAGCACGTTTGGTTCACGGAATGAATTTTGAGGTAATAGGAATGCTATTCCATAAGGAATTGAATAGACATGGAATAGAATAGGAATTGTATTATATTGTTTGGTTCGCGGAAGGAATAGACTTTAGGAATTATATTACAGTGTTTGATTGATTTAAGGAATAGAAATGAAATATGTTTTAAAATACATAAATACCCTTATAAAAATATGTGATGGTGCCGGTGATGGTGGTGATGGTGGTGGAGGTGGTGGTGGTGGTGACGATGGTGGTGGCGGTGGTGGTGGTGCTGGGGTGGTAGTGGTGGTTGTGGCGGTGGCAGTGGTGGGGGCGACGGTGGTGGTGGTGCTGGGGTGGTGGTGGTGGCGGTGGTGGTGCTGGGTGGTGGTTCTGGTGGCGGTGGTGGTGTGGCGACGGCGATGGTGGTGGTGATGGTGGTGGCGATGGTGGTGGCCGTGAACCAAACGGGCCATAAAAGTATCCAAAAAAAGTAATAGTCTGGGATTTTAAATGACAAAAATGATAGCCTGAGACTAAATTTGAAATTAATACCAAAGACAAAGGACCTCAGGTGGAATTAAATTATGTATCGATAAATAAATTAAAGACAAATAATCTGAATGTTATTTTGGATTGTAGTCTACAATATTAGGTGGACCTAATCCATGGTATAATTTGCATCAATCTATCATCAATTAACTCTTGAATCTTGATAACTAATGCTATAGGGATGACCACAGTTAACTACCTAGTTCAAACTAAAATGGACACTGTAGAAACCAAATCGGGACTCAAAAAAGGTTGTGGTTTCCATTTTTTAAAATTGAGAATTAGAACCGGAACTGGCCACTTACGATTCCAAAGTAGAAAAAAAAAAGTAAAATAAATTTTAAAATTAAATGCAAGTTCAGTTTTTTTTTTTTTTTTAGTTTAACTTTAATATATAAATATTTGATATAACCATTTTTAAAAAAAATTAGGATGAAAAAATTCTAAAAAATAAAATATTTGTTGATTTTGGATTATTTTAAAAATAAGGAATATAATTTAGAAAAAAGGAAAAAAAAAATCCGAACTGGCAATTCGAAACGAAAATCGGAACCAAATCGAGCAGAACCGCAGTCGTACCTACTAGTGCAGCCTGCAGGTGACTTTAAAGAAAATACTTATTTCATAAATAAACATTGAGTTAACACCCAATTTAATCCTAAATGACTTTTTGTGCTCAATTTAATCTTCAGACTTTAATGGTTTTACACACTTCAGTCCTTTTGTTAAAATTTCTATTTATATTTACCATTTTGGCTTCAACACAGTCTCATTTTTTTTTACTCCTTTCCCTATTTTTTTTTTTTTTTTGGATAAAAAGGAGGGTTTAACCCGAAGAGAAACTAGGAGCTTCCACCAGCCAGACCCATGGGCTGTCCACGCGGCACTCTGGCGCCAAGAGCGTCTTCCCAGATAACATCGTCTAAAATTCGAGGTTGGTCTTCCAAGTCTTTTCCACCCAAATCGTGGAGAAGCGTTGTTGCTGCTAACCGGTCCGCAACGCGGTTCTGTTCGCGGGGAGCGTAAGAGAAGACCAGCTCTTGGAAGTTTTGGCGTGCCCTCATGCATAGCCGCATGAGATTACAGCTAATGCGGTTCCATGCATCACCCGTATTCATGTCTTCAATAGTATTCATCGAGTCGCTCTCAAGAATGAGCTTTTGGACTCCCCATCGTGCTGCCGTCGTCAGACCAACATATACAGCCCACCTCTCAGCTTCCTCCGCCGAACAAGTGCCAATGTTGAACGTAAAGCCTTTCACCCAATCGCCTCTATGGTTCCGAAGAATTCCACCACATCCAGCTCTCGCGGTCGCCCCCTTACAACACCCATCGACATTTAGCTTCAGCCAGCCCTGCTCCGGTTTGCGCCAAGCTCCTGGCTCACCCGAAGTGGTAGGAACGGCGGCATTCGGACTCCATCTACGCCTGAACGCTTCCTTGGTCTCGTCCCTTCGCGCGAGGACCCAAGCCTTCTTCTGCGCCACAGTCAAAAACTTGTTGTTGAACACTCTGTCGTTTCTCCAGCGCCAACACCACCAGAGACTAATTCCAAATAGCACTAGCCAGTCCTCTCCCGTCCGGGGCCCCTGCGATGCGTTGAGATTGGTTGATGGCCAGTCATTCTATCCCAGCGATCTAGCAGCCGTCGCAGCGCCTCTGGACGTGATTGCTTCCCAGAATCCCTCGACCTCCACACATTCTCTAAAGATGTGCTCAAGTGACTCCGGTTTACCTGCACACAAAGAACACATGTTGTCAGACGTGAATCCGCGTTTCTGTCGTTCAACGTTCGTCATCAAGCGGCCTTGTTTCACAAGCCATAAAAAATGGTTAATTCTATTCGGGAGACGGATCTTCCATATGCGTTCCCAATCCTTGTCTGCTGTAGCACCATTACTCGGGTTTAGCCATTCATACGCCGAGCAAACGGAAAAATTCCCAGAATTATTCCCAATCCAGCCCCAATCATCCTGCGCTTCACCATCCTCGATCAAGACTATGGCGTGAAGCCTAACCAACCAAACATTATCCAGAACTCCGGCAATCATTTCCCATTTCCAGCCTCGTTGGGCGTCCCAATACTCAGCGACATGTGCGTACAGCTCAGGTAGGCTAACCGGCCTTCGCATGTGGTCAAATAATCTCTGGCCATGGATCCATCTGTCCATCCAAAACCGAGTGTCTCTGCCATTCCTGACAACCCTCGTCAACCCCTTTTCTAAAGTCGGCGTCGCATTATTAATTCCCCGCCACACGTTTGACGATCGTCGTCCTGATGCTGCGGAGGAATATTTACTCTGAAGCACTCTGACCCACAAAGACTCTGGTTCCTTCTTCATTCTCCATCCAAGCTTGGCCATAAACGCCACGTTCATGTCCTATACCTTCCTTATGCCTAGCCCGCCCTCGCGCTTGCTCTGCGTCACAGTCGCCCAGTTAACCAGGCTTGGCTTCCGTTGCTCGTTATATCCGCCCCATATGAACTTTCTAACCATAGCTTCAATTTTCTGGCAGACCCCTCTAGGAATGTGCGTGGTCTGCATGGTGTAATTTGGGATCGCGCAAAGGACCGATTTCGCCAACGTGACTCGACCCGCAAAGTTAAGAGTTTTGCTCCTCCACCCTTGTAGCCTCGCAGCTAGTCTATCAATAAGGCCGGCAAAATTAGCTTGCGTGACCCTCCCATGCAGCGATTGCACCCCTAGATAACGTCTGAGGTCGGTCGTGCGTGGGATTTGTAGCTCGGCTGAGATTGACTCCGCCACTTCTGGTCTTGTGTTCTTTGAGAAGAAAACCTGGGATTTGTTT